AAGCCACTCCTTTTTACCATCATTTCCTTCCTAATACCAAACAGGCAAACTTTTATTTAAAGGCTATACAATATAAAAAATAATAATTCTAAGAAAGTATTTGTATTACAACAACAGGACAGCAGAAATAGTAAGAGCCACAGACAAGGGTACCTTCCCCAAGATACCTACACATTCCTGTGGGGGAAGAGTCACCGTCAGGGTTAAAACAACCCTTTCACTCCACCCCCGAGCCACACAGAAGAAAGAAAGGGCGCCACCACTCACTTCTCTTCCCTCGTCACTCCCGTATTCCCATCTTTTATCCATCATTTGCTTTGTCACACCACTGGATACCAGCTCACCAATGTGCCATCTCCCTGCTCCACAAGTTCTCCCAAGAGGATTAACTACATATGTAATAAACATACAATGGGGGTGATCCCCTATTTGAGACAGAAAACTAAGGGAAGCATAAACCTTCTCTTTCTTGTCCCCAGAACAGTCATCTGCTTCCTCCGAGGAGTGGACAAAGGACGTTTTCAGAAACCTCAGCTGAGAAGGGCTGCGGGTCATCGCTGCAGTGATGGCTGCTCCTGAGAGTCTGCCCCAGCCACCTCCCCCTTATCACAGGAGGATGCCCTGCTGCCGGGGGCAGAGAACCAGGGAGAGAGATGCAATGGACACTTTCTGTCCCATCAGACCGAAGCCCACAGAGGCCTTCTTTGAGCTTTACCCCACTGCTACAGGAAACCCACCAGAGGCTTTTCTTAGCTCTGTTATAACAACTAGAACCTTGCAGCCAAAGGAACCATCGCGAGTCCTCGCTACCCAAGAGCAGTCAGCACGGAGGGGAAAAGGGAGTGACTTCTCTTAAACAGGGACCTCACTTCACAGTGATGAGAAAGAGATCTGATTAGTTTCCCCTCCAAAAAATCAAAATATTAATTTATTTTCATGATGTATCTTATATTTACCAAAGTTTACCTTACACTTGCAACTATGCACTAATTCTTAGGACAAGAAACTAAAGAAACCAATCAACTGGTAGAATTTGGGACATAATTTTGTGAACTGTACACGAGCATAATATGACAAACTTGACTTCACATTTGCCTTTTGCAAGACAATTATATAAAAGTCATTTTTACCCACAACAATTTAGTAGACTCTGCTTTTGTAAACAAAAATAAAACTTCTAAAATTAAAAAATAAAAATAGAATAAAAGTCGTTTAAAAAAAAATAGATGCATTTCATCATTCATTCCCCTAGGGCCTCTCACACCACCTCTAAAAAACATTCTAGAGCACCTCTCTCCTCACCCTGGTTTTCCTCATCAATAGGTAACTTGGTCTAACACTGCCAAATTCTCACAAGAGCCTCTTTATAACAGTCAAGTGCACGAACCTCAGGTGTGCAACCTGAATTCTCACATGAACATACGCGCCCCTTAACCACCCTCAGCTCGAGACACAGAACATTCCCAGCATCTCAGAAGGTTCCATCATGCCTGTTCTTGGTCATTACTGCCAACCCCCTCCCCCCACACACACACAGGAACACTCCTGTTTCCGAACTTCAACGAAATGGAATCTCACAGTGCTTATGTTCGGAACAGTTCTCCACCTTGCTCTGAATTCATGAAACCCTGCATCTCTGCAAGGTTTGCTATTTCACCTGGCAGTCGATTTGGAATGCATTCGTTTTATGCTGTCGGGTGCTAGACAACTCTGGTGTTATGAGTGTTTCGGTAGATATCAGCTTTATAACTAGAGAATTCATTTGTGATTAGTTCTATATTAGAATGACTTCTGCATACATATACTAAAAACAATGTGGAAAAAGCTCTAACCCATTATTCTTGCATTTTACCCTTTATTCTTGCGTTTTACCCTGAACATGACAGATAATTCTTCCCACTCCTTTTGTGTGGCTGCCTTCCAATCTCCAATGGAGCCAACTTTACACTAAGACACTGCTGACTTTTGATGATAGAGTTAAGTTTTCTACAGTCTCAGAAATCAGAGGACTAGAGGAAGTTATAAGTCTGAGTTTGTGACATATTATTTGACCCAACAAACTTAAATAATTTATAATTCTCCCAAAACCCAGCAACAAAGAACTGCCTGCTCTGTCCTTTTTCCTATGTGAGTTAGTATCAATCTCTAAACATACAGCTGCCAAAAAACAGAACACTCACTTTATTCCTCTTTACCGTCAGCAGTTACCTGCTCCCCTCCCCCACCTCACTGTTCTCCACATCCAATCTTCATTCCAAGTATGTGCTGTGGACTCTGAACACAGCCAACACCCTGGTTCACCCCCTTATCATCTCTCGTCTGGAGCACGGAAACTGTCCTCCTCCTTACATTGTCTTTCACCCTGTCACCAAAGTCACCTCTCCAGAACATGAGGTTGACCATGTTATTCATCCAACCAAAATCCTTCTATAGGTCCCGGTGCCTATGGGATAGTCACCTTCTTAGCTGAGAATTTACAACCTGGCCCGAACCCTCCCTGGATTCTTTCTCAGCGACTCCTGTGAAACTCTGGTTTCACCCCTGGACACCCATGATCTCTCACTCGCCTTGACCCTGCATTGCTTTCTCCTTTGCTAGAAGCCCCTTCTCCCTTCATCCTGCAGGCAGCTCCCTCACTTTCTCAGCCAGGGCCACCCCAGTCAAGGCAACTATGCCCTTGTACGTGTTCCCACAGCCCTCTGCACCCACCGCAACTACATCACACTGCATTCGTCATTTCATTTGTTCGTCTCATTCACTGGTTTATACACTTCTAGGCCCAGGGCACCTCCCTAGACTCCTCAAGGACAAGGTCAGGATTTAATCTTTACATCCTAGGGACTTGGTAAGACAATTACATTAAGGCTCAATGAAAAAAAAATGAATGTCCCAGCCTCTTTGATTCATGTCATCTTTTTTTCTGTAAGTAGAAACTAAAAGAATTAGTGCAGATACGTCAAATCAATAAAGCTAACTTCTCTTTTAAAAGTCACCCAGCAAATTAAAAAGTTTAATACAAACTAAAATCTCCCTTAACTATTGATTTGTGCTTCCTGTTAGAAATCAGTCATAGCTCTTTGTTTTAAAATACCTTTTAAAATAATGGACATCAAAGATAGAATGAATAATGCCACTTAACTAAAGTAACTGTAGTCATCACCATATAAATCCCTACTGGATGCCAATAGAATGAATCATAGTTATTTATACAACTAAAAGATCACAAACAAAATTACTTCACTGAAAAATTTGTTCATATATATATATATATCCCCTCAACATGTAACACTTCTGCATGATGGTTAAGAACATCAACTAGAATCACAATGCTAATTGTGTGACTTCGGGCCAATAACCTAAATTTCAATGCGCCTCAGTTTCCTCATCTGTAAAACAAGGACAACAGAAGTGCCACTTCACAAAGTTTCTGGGTGACTGAGTTAGCATACACACAAGGCCCTCGGGACAGTGACTGGCAGAGCAGTGATAAACGTCAACTGTTAGTGCAGGGTCTTTTTCTCTTTTCTCACAGCTGTGTAATGAGATTGGACAAACATCCTATGCCCATTTCAGAGATAAGGCAGTAACAGAGAGATCACTGACTTCCCTAAGCTATTTTAAGTGCAGAGCTGGAACTGGAAACCATACCTAACCCCAGGCCAAAATGAGCAAACCTCCACCAATCCAGTTTGGAAGAAAGGTCCTTTTGGGTTTTCCACACTATTTCCTATGGTTTGTCAGCAATGGCCACCCTAAAAACCCGGTGGGAACAGATGGACTACCCCACTTGCTCAAGTTCAGAGGCAGGAGCAGCCTCTGACACAGAGCAGGCACTCCAAAGACAATAGACAGCTTCTGATGACCAAAACACAAAGCACCACTGTGCTTTCTCAATAACAGAACAAGGCACTCCACAGAAGCAAGCCTGCTACCAAAAGTCCCTTAATATTATGTTTATCTGTCCCATCAAAGTACAATGTAGCCACACAAACTTAAAAAAGAAAATAATTTTTAACGAATAATCTTCTTTTGCCCTCAAAATTGTAAGTTTTGTAAAAAGGACTCTCATTAAGAGAAGTTATCAAGTTTTTTGAAAACTAACCCAAAATGCCTTTGCACAAATAAGTGGCTGACATGAGAAGACAGTATTTCATCTCCATGAAACCTTTCCCAGTACTTATTTAAAGTACTTTCCTGGGCTTAATCTGAATTCTAAACCTTAGCCTTAATTACAGCCATGTGCACATGTAATATAGTTAATAAGTTTCGAAGGCAGATGCAATGTCCCTGATGCACCCACCTGAACCAGGTAAGTACAAAGAAGTAAACACCAGGAAAACGACACCTCTCTTTATCTTTCTTCAAATGGGCACGCAGAAGTTAGAATAGATCTTAGTGATCACACTTGCCACAGTTCCTGGGAAAAGTCTACCTTTTCTGTTATGGCACTGTCACTCTGGCACCTACAGGTAGGTGTCTGGTACCTGTAGAGTACACAGATAAGGCAGCTCCATGCCCTGTGCTGGACAGCTCGCGTCCAAGACTCACACCTGGTGGCCTCTTGGGATGTTCTGCACACGTGATTTAACAACAGCGGAGCTCAGGCTGTGTTCCGGGTGGTGCGGCTCCCAGACCCACCCAGATCTGACGCAGGAAAGTGCTGATGCTCATTTATAAAGAGACGGGACACCAGGTCCCCCACATCCCACAGCCACCTTGCCCTCGCGACCCAGCACGCGCGGCCCCGCGGCCCTGGACGCCTCAGCCTGCCTCTGGGAGTCGCTTCTCCATGACTCCTCTTACCTGAGCCAGCAACGCCACCAGCTGCGTCGCGATCCCAATTCCCGGTCAAGTGCCCGTTACCCGGGCAGCAGCCCGAGAGGCCCGAAACTCAGGAGGAAGAGCGGTAGTGCCGCTCCCCCTCCAACTCGGGAATCCCTCGGCCGCTGCCGCCATTTTCCCCGCACCGTAACCCCCACCTGACAATTCCAGTCTCCCACCTGTGACCAGCAGGAGACAACGTGTGACACTGTGGGGGCGCGTGCACAAGTCGGGGAATCCGTGGGGGTCACAACCTCGGCGCAGAACCCGCCGCTAATTCATCCCGAAGCGGGAGGCGTCCAGCCCGTCGCCGTAGTAGTGCGTCCGAACAGGCCTCACACTGATTGGCCGCGAGCTCGGTGACGTGTAGGCGTCCCCGGCAGCACGGGAAGCCCCGGTCCTAGGTACCCCGCCCTTGCCCCGGGCACCCCAGGCTCCAGTAGTAGAGGGCTTCCTTAAAGGGTCCGCGCTCATTTCCTCTCCTGGCCTATGGGCCAGGAAGGACAGAGTGAGCGAGGCTTGTAGGGGCGAGAAGGGGTAGAGGAAATCTCACAGTGGCCATTGCCCCAGTGAACTGATGGCCCGTCCAACTCCTAAAGTTTCAGATTGGAAAACAAACCTGGGAGGTTTAATTTACAAGTCTGATTTACTAGCACCAAGTCCCAAGGCAAATCAGAGGAAGAACCAGTTCTAGAACGCAGATTCCCGATACGCACAGCGCCAAGCTCTCCCCAGCACATGCAGTATTTCCCAGGCCTGGGGAAACGTTCCCTTCTCGGAGCACCCACAGCCCTTTCTTTCATCAGGCCCCTTATAAAAGGTAGCTAGTCATCACTTTCTGCTGTGGCATGTGGGTCCCTAACCTGCTAGACTTTAAAGCTCCATAATGGTGGGGACCGGTTAAACCTCTTCATTTTCTACACAATGTCTTCCTCCTGCTGACTTTCAACAAAGATTCAGTGAATTCAAATCTTTAAAATAATGAAACACAGCCACAGATCACACACATAGCCACTCAGTCATTCATGCTATGTTTATGTATCTTAGTAGGTTATTGAACAAGGCACGCGGCGAGGGTTGATTTTTTTTAACTACAAGGTTCATCTCACAAACTTTATGCTGTAACAATAATTCTAGGTTAGGGATGCATAGCCCCAACATAGCTAAGTTATATCCCCAAATTCTCTGTGAATCAAGTTCCTGTGCTCCTAAGTCAGTTTCATAAACTCTCCGATTTTGTTCAGAAATATTGAAATATTTTGGATGTGCTAAAATTGCATGATTAGGAAAGGAAGCTAAACTCTGACAGAGGGAAACGCCAATACAAAAGCCAGGTACTTCTGTGAACTTTAACCACATTTTTATCTTTAAAATGAGATTGCAATTGAGATCTTTAAAAGATCTCTAATTTTCTTTCCCCCACTCCTACAAGTTTTAAGTTTCTTAACGTCAGAGACCAGGGGAAAAACGCTGAAGGCCCTGGAGATGGGTTTTGAAATCCAAAATCATGTAATAGTTTATCTCTGCATCTCTGTAAATGAATAGACCTGCCAACTGAGAAAAAGAACTCTATGCATTTGCATATATAGTGGATGTTGAATAAAGGTTAACTGACTTGAATGAATCATCCTGATTTCCTCATTTCACCTTTTGCTGTTTGTCCTTCTTTGGGTGAAGTGCTGGAACCTGAAGGAAAGGATGAAAACTGTGGGGTCCAGGGGTTTTAGCTCTTTTTTGTACCCCAAACACTTCTGACACCCACCACATGGGTGGATTTCTACACCAAGCAATTCTCCAATTCTCTGTGGACACCAACTGGGTGTCCTACAATGTAATTCAATTCTGCTGCTGACTACTCGGGTAATGCAGACCCCACAGGTTAAGGCTCAGTCCATTGTGTCCCCCACTTCAGACACTAATCCAAAGTCCAGGCCTGCAGTACTTCTGGCCCACCCACTATAAGTTGGGTATTCCCCAGACACCCTGCTTGGGTTCTAATATGCTAGAACAACTCACTGAGCTCAGGAAAACACTTTACTTTTATTGGTATTAGAAAGAATCCAAATTTTTTTTAAGAATATGATTTTGGAACAGCCAAATGGAAGAGATGCGTAGGGCGAGGTACGGTGGGTGGGAGGGAGAGGGGAGCTTCCACGCCCCCTCCAAGCGTGTGCCCTCCCAGCACCTCAATGTGTTCAGCAACCCGGAAGCTCTTGAAATCCATTGCTAGCGTTTTTTCATGGGGATTTCATTATATCATTGGCCATTAGTGACGAACTCAAACTCCGGCCCCTCACCCCTCCCTGCAAGTCTAACTGTGGGGTTCAAAGTTTAAACTCTCTAATCACAGAGTTGGATTCTCGGGCAAGCAGCCTCTGCCCTCAAAGAGTCATGAGCATACATTCAGGCTAAAAGGGACTTGTTATGAATAACAAAAGATCCCCCCACCCTCAACAAAATACAAGGTTTTCAGAAGATCTATGCTAGGAATGGGGACAAAGACCAAATATATATTTCTTATTATATCACAATATCACAGAAGGTGCAAGGGGAAAGACTGCAGGACAAATGCAAGGAGTGTGGCATTCAAGCACCCCAGCTAAGTCCCAACGAGGGTATGACCAGATAGAGGCCCAAACCATCTTACTGCAATTTGGGTAAATTTATGCTGATGTCATCCAGAAGATTGGGGTGGGGTGGGGAGTGGATTAGTCTGGAGTCCCCTACAAAAAAACGTACCCTCACAGTGCACAACTGACCTTCTGAACATGTCCTGTAATATGTATTTGCTAGGATTTCCCATGCTGACCACTTGTACTGTGTGCTCAACATGCTACTTAAAATACATGAACTTATAACCTGGCTGGGTTTTCCAGTCATTTGGAGTGTCCTTCTCATACACCAAAAGGTTACGGGTTCAATTCCCAGTCTGGGCACACACCTAGGTTATGGGTTCCATCACCTGTCAGGGTGAGTATGGGAAGCAACTTCAATGTCTCCCTCTCTCTTTCACTTCCTCTCTCTCTAAAATCAATAAACATACCCTAGGATGAAGATAATAATAATAATAATACATTAATTTATAATACAGTTGGATCATGGACATCTCTGATCATAAACTTTATAAGTTAGGTAAATACCAAGGAAGCAAAAAATTCAAATTGTACAGAAAACACCTTTGTCCCACATCAGGTGATAACTCTATTCATAACTTACTGATGCTTGGTAAGGAAGGTCCTTTGCATTAAGAAGGAGGGTAAAACTATTCTCAACCCCCTATCCCTGATGGTGTGGATGAAAAAGGGGTTCTATGGAAAGTAACCTCACAGGGTGATCTGATCATAAATTCCTAACTGAGCAGGTCATGCTGGGTTGTCACACCCCAGGTCTATAACTTTTGTAGTAAAAGTTTTATCTGTGCCCCAAGCAAGTCCTGTCCACTGTTTGGGGGCATCTGGGTTAACAAACCTTTGAAATAAGCTTAACTACTTTCAAGAGAGCACATTGTTAACTCTCCTGGGATCCAGTTTCCACCTTGCTTTCTTCCACTCTCATGTAACCTTCTTTACATTCCCTCCTCAATATCAAATACATAAAAGGAACTACAAAACTGTCATTCTCTGGAGCATTTGTGATCTTGCTTCCCAGCAATTGTCATCCGTTTTGGCTTGAATAAACTCTTATTAAAATTCTGTTCAGGTTTGCATGTTCTTATGTCAACAATGGAATAATAGTTTCTTAGATTTTTCCCCCCATAGAATTTCCCTAAAATGAATCCTGTTACAAATCCTGCTCCTACTAAAAGAACATTTAAGTAGCACAGAGGCAGTAGTTAAATCCCACCTATTTTGATATGGCTTTAGACAGGTCAGGTACTAGCTCTGATACTCAAGTCCCTTCATCTATAAAAGGGGGAGAATAATCTTTCCCTTGTGGACGTAAGAGCATCCAAACCTGGAGAGAATTTTTATGAGTTTATTTGAGCAGGAGGCAAAATCTCAAAATGCTCTGGAGAATGAGTGAGGAGTTTTGCAGTGCCTTTCATGCATTTGGAGTTAATTATGTGCTCCCCAGAGGGTGGTTAAGCCTCCCCAGGAATCTAAAGGAAGAGGATTACTCTGGCGTTTCCAAGGTGTGTTAACCTACCTGCACAAGAACAACAGACAGGGCTTAAGGGAGGCAAAGGGAAACCTTTACCAGGGAGTGAGAGGCCTGGGGCTGACCACTCACCTTAACCTACCCTGTTAGGAGTCTGTGATCAGATTGTGCTGTAGGTCACTTTCGGTCACTGAGCTTGTCAGGTTTATAGATCTTCCTTTCCTTCAACCCTTCAGAATTGTAAAGGAAAGAATTTACCCTGAGTAGCAAGCCCTGGTCTTATCTCACTTCTAGTGCAATTACTCTGAGTCAGAGTGTTACAGCCATATATGGACATAGAGGCCAAACAGATCTTAATTTGAATCCTATTTTCGAAAGCTGGTAAATTTAATAATATGGTTAAGTCACTTAATTCTCTTGGGCCTCAGTTTCACATTTGAAACGCTTGGCTATTAGTGCTTACCTCTGAGGACTATTGAGTATATTGAACGAAATAACGACTACCTACCATTTATTAAGCACCGAAAGTGTGCCAGGCACCATGCTTGCCCTTCATGCACATCATTTAATTCTCCAAACATCCTTTTGATGGGTGGGGATGATGAGACTTAGGAAGGTCAAGCAAATTTGCACACAGTCTCACAGCAAATGAATGGCAGAGTCAGGGATTTAATGCAGGTCTCTCTGACACCACAGCCCTATCCCTCACTCTTCTCTCAAGCCGTATTAAATGCTCTTTTGGGGTGATTAACAAACACATCATACAAAAAATCCTCCCAATTTCTGCATACTCTCTTAGGTCTTGACCCCAGGCTTCCTTGTCGCCAGTCTTCTAAGCTTGCTCCTTCCACACCTCTCAGTAGCCATCTCAGCCATTTGCTACTGACCGCGTCCATGTATATCCTTGCCTTGAGCCTCTGTCTTCCAACAAAGCAGAGAGGCCCACTTCTGCAGGCCCAGGTGGCTCAGGGGAACCTGAGGTTCAAGGTGCTCAAGTCCGTCTACTCAGACATCCCAACCCCAAATCTCAAGTTTCTTCCCCTCCCAGCCTTATCACATTATAAATTGACATATAACACTGTGTAAGTTTAAAGTATGCAAAGTGATGATTTGATATACCAATATATTGTGAAATGATGGTTTGATATATGGCTATATCATGAAGTGATTACCACAACAAGGTTACTTAACACATCCATCATGTCACATAGTTGTGTGTGTGTGTGTAT